ACAAAGAATGGAGAGTTCACTGTCAAGTCTGCGTATCACTTGCGAATGGCTATGAGCAGATCGAGGACCGGACATCCGGGTCCCTCGAGCACGGTGGCGCAGCACAGGGGGTATATGGCTTTGTGGGACACAAATGCGCCAGCCAAAGCAAAGATCCATATGTGGAGGATGATAAGGAATGGGCTTGCGGTAGGAGCCGAACTTCACCGAGGTCGCATCAAACCCGGTGTTTTTTGTGTTGCGTGTGGTCGAGAAGAGACGGTGCTGCACCGTTTCTGGGCTTGCCAACATTCTGCGTTGTTCTGGCAGCTTCTTCACTCAGAAAAGGGAGTTAAGGTGGCGATCCCACCTTGTCAGATCGACTCCCAGGGTGCTTTAGCTAGCTGGTTACTTGGGTGGTTTGCCGATGCTGACAATGAGGAACGAGCTGCTATGGTTCAAGCTACATATGGTCTATGGTTGGCTAGAAACGAAGCGAGGGATGGAAGGGCGATAGCTGCTCCACATGAAATAATGGGCACTGTTGTGTCATTTATGAATGAGTGGACGGCAGTTCATGCTAAGGAGAGGCGACCGATAGCGGCGCCGGTCAAGGAGAAGTGGAGGCCACCTGAAGAGGGCTGGCTCAAGATCAACTCCGATGGAGCTGTGCATAGAGGAGGTGACAAGGGAGGGGCGGGAGCAGTTATACGAGACCATGGAGGCGCATTCCGTGCGGGGCTATGTCATGTTTATCACTGGCATTGTAGAACCGGAAGCACTTGAAATCCTGGCTTGCAAGCGGGGGCTGGAAGTGGCGAGGGAGGTCAATGCAAATAGGGTCCATGTTGAGCTCGATTCTCTTGGTGTCGTCCAAAGGTTGCAAAACCCACACAAGGATCGCGCTAACGCTGGAGCGTGGATACAGGAGATTAAGGTCCTGCTTGCTTCTTTTTCAGAGTCAAAAGTTTCGTGGATTCGTCGTTCGGCTAATGTTGTCGCGCACAAGCTAGCTAAAGTTGGCGTAGGTGAGGATTTGTGTAAGGTGTGGGTGGGTGACACCCCAGACTATGTTCTAGATGTACTCTAGGATGAAATTCCGAATGCTTTTGATTAAATAAAGCGACAACATTTACCTAAAAAAAACTGCAAATCCTTGTATTAGTAGTGCTAGTACGTGACATTCTTCATGCATGTGAAAGGCTTCCGTCAACACTCACTTGGATTACTGTGCTAGTACGTGACATTTTTCATGCATGCACGTCCCCTTCCGCCAAAACGCGTGTTTCTTTTTTTCTTTTCTTCAAGTGCTTGGTAAAACAAAGTTACTAATAATCCAGACATTATCATAGTGAGTCATGCATATTTTGGTACAAAGCCTTTCTTCAAGTGTTGGCGGAAGCTACCAATCCTTGGATTATCACTGATATTTGGCTGTTTTTTTTTCTTCTTAAAAAGCGGATGTTTGAGACAGGGTTGGATGGCCAGATCCCATATCAGTGTTCGTGGACCAGTCCTTGTCGATCCACGGAGTGATATGGTGTCCGGTTTAAGGGTCAACGTTGAAGATGCCCTTAGTCCACGGCTAAGTCATGAATGGCATGGCTTCCCGCCAACCCTAGTGTACGTGTTGACTTGCCTAAGTATTACCCACCAAAAAAAGTTTGACCCATCTAGAATTTAGTGATGCGAGCGATTCAAAGTCCGAACCCAATGATGTGGCGGCGACGAAGGGAAAAATAATCTGGTAAGGAGGTGAAAGTGACTTTTCTCTTCCTCCTTTCCCTAGCAAGACAAGCAAAGACTTGTACTGCATATTAATGTTGAGTCATTAAAGAAAAATGAATAACTCTATATCTCAAGAGTGAAATAAACCTTGATGTTACCCTCAACTCCAAATCTTTGAAGTCGGTAACTTACCTCTCTGATCCTGGTCTATCCTAACCCTCAACGTGTTTGGCGCACTGGGAAAAGGGATGATCCCAACCGGGTCCATCTGTTACTATCACTGACAATACGGGTCCACAAGTCGGCTTGTTCGTGGTGAATAGGTCCGGCCGAACCACCCATATAGCTGGCGCCGGGGTCATGTTCCCCACTCCAGGGCAGGCCCGTCAGATTCTTGCTGGGCCGTGTAGTTGCTTCTAGCTGTCGCCAGGGAGAGGCACTGCCGTCGATGCAAACTGGCGCTGTTTCACAAGATTGGGGACAGAAGATAGAGATGACATGTGGGACAATGTAGTCAGCGAGAGTAACAATCAATCAATCCCGGCCGGGATTGTGCATTTCCTATTAGACTAAACAAGATTTTACTCATGCAAGGTCGGGATTGCCTGGGATCTGTAAATATAGGGTAGCAAATTCAGGGATTTAGATATCAGGGTTTATTTGCGTCGGTCTCTACAACCTCAAGGTTTATTTTAGACTTCACTCTTATCTCAACAAATGTTTGTGCCTTGTAGCAGAGTTCAAAGATAAATAGACGGAACAAGAGCTACTAAAATCGCATATGCATTTGGCTTTATTTCAGCACATTATTCATCCAAAGATTACATAAATACATCTGGCCGCCTGACATCCGTTGGCAGAAATGACGTTCAAATTATTTCTTGCATGGATCTGGGAGGGGCGCACCGCAGAGGCACTTGTTGTGCTGGAAGTTGTAGACATCCAACCTCGCCAAGGCGGCCGGAACCTGGCCGCACAGCTTGTTGTAGCTCACGTTGAACTGCCGCAGGTTCGTTACATTCGCCACCTGCGCTGGGATGCCGCCGCGGATGGCGTTGTAGCTCGCATCCATGGCTTGCATCTCCTCCGGGAACTCCACGCTGGAGAGGTCGAAGCTGAGGGCGTTGTGGGACAGGTTAATGCTTTCTAGCTCCTTTGTCCTGCCGAAGAACACGGACGCGTCGCCGGTGAGAGCGTTGTGGGAGAGGTCGATGAACTGGAAGCCGACTGCAGCGAACTCGGTCGGGATGGAGCCAGAGAGGTGGTTGTTGGAGAGCAAAAGGTACGAGATTATAGGGGATTTGGAGTTGTAGAAGAGTGGCGGGATGGTGCCCGTGAGACGGTTGTTTCTGAGGTCGATGGTGTCTAAGTAACGGAGGCCTGCGAGCGAGGCCGGGATGGTGCCGGTGAGGGAGTTGGAGGAGAGGGTGAGGTCGTTGAGCTTGGTCAGTGCGCCCAGGAAGGACGGAATGGGGCCCGAAACGGAGGTAAGAGAGATGGAGAGCGAGGTGAGCTTGGATAGCTTGGCGATTCCCTTGGGGATAGGGCCAGAGATGGCCGGGAGGTAATAGAGGTTGAGGACGAGAAGCTCGGTGAGGCCGGAAATGGCGTCCGGGATGGTGCCCGTGAGGTTGACATCCTCGAAGAAGAGGAGGATGATGACGCGACCGGCGTCGTTGCAAGTGATGTCGTGCCAGTCGCAGCACGGGGTGGAAGGAGTCCACGAGGCGAAGTGGCTCTGATTGCCGAAGGCGGACTTGACGGCGAGGAGCGCGGCCTTATCGCTAGGGTGACAGTCTTTGTTATTCTCGGCGGAGGCGATGACCGCTCCGGCGAGGACGAGAAGGAGGAGGACGAGGAAGGCATGTGCCGAGGGTGGAGTGCTCATGGTGCTCCGGCGGAAGTGACCGGTCTCTCACTTCGGTTGGGTGCCTCCTCCATGAACAGCCGGGCACATATATATCCATTGGTACATTTGATTTGATTGGTTGAGACTGATGGGAATTCAGCGGTGATCATTCATGCACGAGGACATACATGACCATTGCATGTGTACTGGGCAACGAAAAAAGACGGGGAACTTTTTGGCAGCTAGCCTGGCGAGGCAAGCACTGGTCAAAATATAGTCAAAATCCTAGATGCTGACTGCTGGTCAAACTTGGCGGGTAGGCATGCATGCATAGACTAATATGGATGGAGAACGTATCGTGTGCACCTGACCAACTCGTGCACCAGGTACTCCAGTGGAACATGAGCCGTTGGACTAAAAACAGAAGGACAGGATGCGGTGCAAGGGGAGTTACCGATATATTTTGCAAAACAGACCTTCATGTCTAGCTAAATCGAGTTGAATCAACACCCCAAACCCAAACATCTATCCCCTATTCCTCTGTACTGTACCGCTACTCGAGGTCGCCGGCTGAGCTAGGATTAACTGAAAAAATTAGGCGAATCCCTCTCCCCCTCTCCCTCTTCCTCTCCTGTACCTCTTCCTCTCCGGTTTCCAGCGTTTTTTCTTGCAGGGTGGTTTCCAGCGTTCAAGCACGAGCGCCCAAGATCCAGATCACGATGTCCAGCGGCGGCTCGCTGCCATTGTGTCTCTGTAGCGAGCTCTGTGGATCGACGATACGGCCGCATAAGAGCGGACCATCGTCCTTTACAGCTCAAGGATCCAAGGTATGTACATATAATTAGAGCATTGGTTCCTCCGATTCCTAGGTTCATCCAATACGTTGGAAACTAGAGTACTGTTAGAGTTTATGTGCAAGATGCAGCCATAGTGGTAAAGTTTAACCACTAATTACTACTGTTAGAGTGGAAAATAGATTAAGGGGTGTTCTTTGTGTGGTCTCATCTTTCATCTGTATATAATTATTTGTGAGCCCGTGATGTTCATTACTGGTTGATACCATTTTTTCGATTAGTAGTTCAGAGTAACTATGTTAGCAAAAGGTCCTTAACATTGTCCAGTACTCTAGTTGTTCCTGTGCTGCTCAGGAAGAGTTTCTGTGGCATATCAACCTTCTTTTTTTTTGAACTGGCATATCATATCTTTACCTATGACTTCATCTGTATATGGCAAGAGTTTGTTAGTTCTTAGTAATAGGGGAAATGTTCTGCTTGATGGAAAATATTAACACATAATTCGTAAAGGCGAAACAAGGCATCACAACTTGCATACTCCAGTAGGCAATAGCTCGAATATGATGCAGAGCGACAATTGACTACAATAACTATGACATACACAACAATTTGAGAATATTACCACATCATTAGGATAAAATTAATTGTATCTACAGCTACGAATAAAATGCTAACCAGCATCTACTCTGTTTTCAACTGATGTTGTACAGAATCTAGCACCTAGGCCATTGCTATAGATCTTCAAGTTACACCCTTCATATAAACAAAAAGATATCAATCAATGTCCTGTTATCTGCCCTTCCGTCTACATACAACAACCACCCCCATAATCTCTCTTTCACCACGTCAAACCTCTAAGTGAAACTGCAACGGTAAAAATGTGTGGTTAGCTAAGAAGGTTTGACAAACAACAACAGTCCCAATTTCTTTCGTTGGTGTGGTCCTCCATACTACCAGTGGAGTTCAGCTGCATAATTGTACCGCGAGAAAGGAAAAAATGATGCACGCAAACAATACAATCTAGTCGTTGTCAAGCACTCAAAAATCAAGAAAACAGTGTAGCACTGATAAGTGTTATGCAATGTTTCTTAAATCCTAGGACAGCTTCTCAGAGTCGAATCATGTATTTACTCTGAACTAGTAATGTTCCTTTGGAGAAGGGCTCAGAGGAACATTACTAGTTGTTCCTGTAACTCTTGATGTATACAGATGAAGTCCTAGTGTCAGGACCCCGATCCTATGCCACACCGATCTAGCATGTAACATCTTATATCACTTTGCGGCCTCACGCACGGTATTCCCACGGGTGTCGTCTTACCAGGCCCGGGACCGTTTGCGCCTTTTGGCTCACGTATATGACAGTGTCGCTAGCATCCATATGACAAAGAACCCGGGCTGACATGGCTAGTCGTAAACCCAAAGTGGCACTAACTTACAGGGACAGGCATACATGACCCAGCAACGAACGTGTCGGTCATCAGCGAGTGAATCCGGGCTGTAGCAACTGGGCTAGCAGGACTCCGGAGAATCCGAGCTGTAGCAGGCTAACAAGACTCCGGTAGACACCGCGTGACATTTCCCCTAAGGGACAGACACAGGAACGAAGAAGGACACATGCTGGCCAGCCTAAGTGTTCCGGAGCAGTAGCAAGCTACCAAGGCTCAGTGGAAGCACTAGGAGACATTTCCCGGTAAGAGAGGCTACCAAGGATAAACAACTAGATAGTCAGATCCCACGCATACCAAGCATTTCAATAACATACACACAATATGTTCGATATGTGCAAATACAACATGGCATCACAACATGACTCTACAACTCAAGTATTTATACAATAGGCTCCGAGGGGCGAGATATTACAAACATGGGTCTTATGACCCAACAATCAAAGCATACAAGTCAAAGCACATGCGGAAGCTTAACGTGTCTGAGTACAGACATCTACAAATGAAAAAGGCTGAGAAGCCTGACTAACTACTAGATCCTGCCGAGGGCTCAAGATCGTAGCTGAGGTAACAAGCTAAACGTCGAAGTCCACGCGGTACTAGCGAGACTGAAGTCTCTCTGCAAAAACATAAATTAAGCAACGTGAGTACAAATGTACCCAACAAGACTTACATCAGATCTAACTACATATGCATCATTATCAACAAGGGGATGGTGGAGTTTGACTGCAGCAAGCCAACTTTGACTCGGTGGCTATCCTGAACTACGACTGCGAGTAACTCTTTTGAGGTGGCTCACACGAGTCCACATATTCACCATATCAATACACCACTATGGATCCGCTCCCGTCTCCCTACGAGAACGCCATCCATAGCACTCACACTTATATTGCGTATTTTAGAGTATCCACTTTCACTTGTCTATGAACTATACAGGCAACCCAGAAGTCCTTTACCGCGGACACGGCTATTCGAATAGATAATGTTAACCCTGCAGGGGTGTACTTCTTCACAGACGCTCTCACCACTTATCGCCGTTTACACGACATGTACTCGGCAACCTTCAAGTGGAAGCCCAGCGAGGGTGTCGGCCACGACCTGACTAACCACACAAGTCTCTCGTCCAGGTTTATTGCCTATTCGGGTTCCATCCGCAAGGAGATCCAGCTGGGGTGTCGCTCACGGCCCCAAACGATGTGTGCAGGGTTCCCAAGCCCACCTCGACGGGTGGATCTACGCTTGGTACACTGTGCCATGGTGCCTAGTCTGTCCCAAGCCCACCTGTACCGGGTGCCACTTGGTAGACTACTAACACTACCTACAAACACTAGAAACTAGTTGCAACTCCTGGACAGAGATCAGGCTGATTAATAAGTCGAGAGGGGCACTTAAGCATTCCAATGCGTGGTAGTAACTGTTCATGGATCACAAACACAGAACTCAGTTCCTGAGGACGGTTTCAATGAGACAACCCACCATGTACTCCTACATGGCCTCTCACCGCTACCTTTACCAAATCATGTTCACACACTTAGCTCTCACACAATAGGACATGTTCACACACCTCCAATTCATCCCTGATGAATCATAGCTGACTCAACTCTAAGCAGTAGCAGGCATGACAAATAAGCATGAATGAGTAGGCACATCAGGGCTCAAACAACTCCTACTCATGCTAGTGGGTTTCATCTATTTACTGTGGCAATGACAGGTCATGCAGAGGAAAGGGGTTCAACTACCGCATCAGGTAACAGTTGAATCGTTGTTGTCCTAATGCAGTAAAAGAGAGCAGGAGCGAGAGAGTGAGATTGTATCGGAATGAACAAGGGGATTTTGCTTGCCTGGCACTTCTGAAGATAGTATAGTTCTTCATTGGTGTCATCGAACTCATCGTCGGAACCACGTCTATCGAGAGGGGACAAACACCAGCAACAAGGAAGAACACAATCAATGCAATGCACAATATGATGCATGATCATGACATGGCAATATGCTGTGGTTTGGGCTAATGTAACTAGCAGTAGATTAAATGGAGTTGGTTTAAATCAAAGATTCAAATTCAAACTCCATATATGACATTTCAAATGCCATTAATTCAAATTGTCTTATACAGTAGCTTTAGGTTGCTCAAACATGCATTAAGATGCCATAAACAGATTCTTTGGATTTTTCTAAAAAAAAATCATATATAATTTGTTTCATTTGGAGTTACGGTTGATTTTATATGATTTTTAGAAGTTTTGGATATTTTCTGGAATTTCCTGAGTAAGATTAAATCCAGAAAATGCTTTATTGCGTCAGCATTGCGTCACTGTGACGTCAGCAGTCAACAGAGACGGTCCAGGTTAACCCTGACCTGTGGGTTCCATCCGTCAGTGACTAACCTAACTAATCTAATTTAGTTAGCGTTAAACTAACACTAATCTACTTTAGTTAGTCGCCTGGGGCCCACTGTCAGTGTCTGTTAGGGGCTAACTGGAGGTGATTAGTGCCTAATTAAGCGGCCACGTCATCATCGCCGGTCAAACCGGTCAACCTGCCGGCGTTTAGCCGCCGGCGGGGTCAAACGCGGCGGAGGTGCTCGGGATTGGGCTGCAGTGCTCCGTTCGATGCGCGGCTAGGCTCGTTAGAGAGCTCTTGCCAGCGCGCATCGGATGGGGGTGTTAGACGGGCGTGTGGTGGCCGGAGCTGACGGCGGCGAGCTCGGCAGCGGCGGCCAGAGCTCGGGTTAGTTTGGGCTCGACGTTAGGGTGCTCGGGAGGAGGAGCTGGTGGGAGCTGCGTGCTCCTGGGAAGGCACC